TGGGGACCAGAACAAAAGGGGTATTTTAAGTCGTTGAAGGAAATCATGACAAATATTCCTAGCTTAGGGTATTATAATGTTAGCGATCGTACGATTGTCATAGCAGATGCTAATCGGAACATATAGATCGACGACGTGAAGTTGTATAAAATCTTACAAAATGAACTTTGTTTTCGTGAGGGTATATTATTGAGAGGAATGAGAATTATGGTTCCCTCGGCACTCGAGGGACATCCAGGTATCGAGTCAATGAAGGCGAGACTTCGTACGAAAGTCTGGTGGCCTAGATGCGACAAAGAGGCTGAGAATATTGTAAAAGCCTGTAAAGGATGTACTCTTGTATCTGCACCATGTTCACCAAACCCTAATGAAACGGCGTGAGTTGCCAGAATAGCCTTGGATTGATATCGCAATTCATTACAAGTGGTGACCACATATTTGTTGTAGTCGATTATTACGGCAGGTATAAAGAAGTGAAGATTTGTTGCAAAATTACCTCTACTGAAATTGTAGCCAAACTTAAAGGAATATTCAGTCGATTAGGAAATCAATAACTGCAGATAATGGAAGACAATTCATCAGCGAAGAGTTTAAATCATTTCTAACAGAAAGACACATTATTCTTTTCAATACAGTACCATACTGGCCGCAACAAAATGGAGAGGTCGAAAGACAAAAATACAGACTGGAAGGAAAGTTTACTGGAATATTTAACCATGTTTACTGGAAGAACCCCATCAGAACATTTCTTCAAAAGGATGTTTAGAGATAAATTACCTATGGTAATCGATACAATAGAGAGGACAACACAAGACACTTAGGTTAAGGATAGAGATCAAAAAAAAAAAAAAAGAAAGAAAAAAAAAATGGGAAAAGGAAACGGAAGGCTGAATAGTGTGATTTAATACCAGGAGCAAAGTGTATATAAAAATATGAATAAAGGAAATAAATTATAATAAAATTAAAATAAATAAATCCAGAAACACACACATTGGAAATCACGAAAGGAGGTGATATCACGGTAAGAAACGATGAAACCGGTCAAACTCGAAGGAGGGACGTTGTACATTTGAAAAGAGTTCAAGGGAATGGAATGTCTGAAAAGAAATGAAGTTAACGACGAGGAAATGAATGTCGGAACTTAACCCTAGTGTAGATGCATAAAACCTTTATTTCATTAATTATGTTTGATTCATGTAAAATCCATTATATACATGAAATTTAATATAAGTTACATTAATGAGTAATCAGGGAGATCTAATCAATAAAAACAAATAAAACAAAAAAGGGATGTAGTGTATTGACTAAATAAAGTGTTGCTTGGTTGTCTCATGCGCCTACGTCACTTGTCAGACTGTCAGTCGTAATCCGACATCCGAACGGAGCGGTTGTGTGTAGGATGTTTGTACAAGTGTTGTGGTGTTGGTGAGCCGTAAATCACTCCAAGAAGCAGGACATTACAAATAGCAATCCCGACTTCGCAGTCTCCCAATGGTAGTGGACAGTGTGGATGTTGGAATTGAGCCCCCTAAAATTTGTGAAGTCCACAGCGAGTGATGAAGGGAGTGCCTTTTTTAGTTTACTCCGTCTGCTCTTATATCGATTATAAAATCCGGGAATGTAAAGGTGAACCTATTGCATCACTTTACGTCGGTTTTCCATGAGGCAGCGGTAGTGCCCCAGTCGTACCTCCTCATTTGGCTGAAGCCCAGAAGCAACAGCATGGCACTCTCTCACAAGTTATTTCACCAGGGGGCGATGGGGTCATCACGTCCCGACGCTAAAAACTTTTTTAATTTCAAACTTTTCCCATGTTTTTGAGATAAAAAGCTTAGATATTATTATAGTGATTAGGGTACTCTTATCAGGTTAAATTACCTTTTATCTAAATTATATTAGTTTGACGACATAAGTTAATTGCTCAGAATTTTATAATTAGATATATATGTGATTAATAGGAACGGATTGACATTATTGGTACAGTAAAATATTTATTTGTCGTTTACGAATTAAGTTACTGATTGGCTAAAAATTGCTAAAGTAACCTCTAGTCTCTACATTTAATCGACAATTTATAAATGCAGCCTCGTCAGAAAGAATACAAGTATCGCCATCTATTGAAAAATAAAAACTTTAAAGAACGATTACAATATCATCAGCAATCAACTATAGTTTAAAAGATCGGATATTAGAGGGCGTCTAGCATGTTGGATTCGATTAGCAATGCACAATGTTTTATATAAATTGGGCTTGGTATGCACCAAAGCATTGCAGCTGGAATATGTTTCTACATATTTTTTTGTTGGGTTGGGTAAAAAAAAGCTGAGTTGCTACTTTTTTGGCCGATAAAAATAACGATAAAAAACTATAAAACCAACAAAAAAATCATTAAATTATGCTGGGCTATTATATCAAACAAGATTTTTCACGAACAGTTCGTAACACAAAAAACTATCTTGGCGGACGTGCTTTTAAAAGCCGGCAAAGCACTTGCGAGCCTTCTGGCAAAATTGAGTGTCCATGGGCGGCGGTGTTACTTCAGGTGTCAATCATCAGGTGAGCCTCCTGCCCTTTTTCCTCCTATTACATAAAAAAAAAGTTGGGGAACCTAAAAGAAGAGGCAAGTCTTAGGGTATGATCGTTTTATAATCAAATAACAAAAGGGGCTTGTCAATAACTATACCTAATACGGGCAAGATAAAAAAATCCGCGCCTGGGTAGAGTGTGGGATTGCGATGACAGAAAAAGCGATGGCCGCATACCCACTGAAACCACTATTCGCTATTAGACGACGTCCGACGAGGGCGAGTTGTTACTCGCCCTCGTCGGACCCTGGACGGTGCCCCGTCAAGTGGAGTAAAACTACAATGACTTGGTACCAAAAATTGGAAATAGGCAGACAGTGCAAGAGATGGGAAGACGATATAAAACTAGTTACAGGCAAGATTTGATCAAAAGTTGGGCGAGAAAGGGAAGGAGGTTATTGTTGGCATTTATTGTGTGTAAGGAAAAAAGCGTTGTATGTAACTTGCTCGAAATAAAGGTTATTTTACTTATTTTATTACATTTCGTTGCCTTATAATACATATTTTGACTTAAATACCATATACAAATGAGTGAAGAGGAACGTGATCAATCTACCCTGAATGAGCTACCTACGCATATATACTGATGGCTCAAAAACAGGGCGTGGCTCCGGCGCTGACATATTCTCTCTTGATCTCAACATCAACATTCACCTATCTCTAGGCACACACAGCTCGATTTTTCAATATGAATGTGTCGCTTTAACCGAAGCAGCCAGAGCCGTGCAGCGGTTAGGAATTAATAACTTTGTATTAAGTTCGTATCCGACAGTGCGTCTGTGCTGATGGCGTTAGAGAGCGGCCACACGATGCGATAACGGTGCGGTGCGGCGCCACACCGCAATTACTTCGAGCTATAGGGTGCCACACGGGCCGGTCGTTGCGGGGTGGCAATATATTTTACTCCTCCCTGCCTCGTCTCGCAGGTCACAACTCCAGCGCGCTTGCGGTGCTCCGGCGCCAAAGGTCTGCAGAACTCTAACGTAAACGATGGTCGCGAAGGGCGAATTGCAAAGAGTCCAAAATGGCGCTGCCAGCAGTTAACCCACAATTAACAAAGCGACTTCTAAACCTAAACAGAACTAATCTCAAAACAATGATAGGGACAATTACGAGCCATTGCCTCCTTAATAAACATCTTTTGTCCTAGGCGCGAATCCTTGTGTTTCAGCGTAGAGGAATCAGTTACCCACCTAGTCCTGTAATGCGGATCTGTGGCTAAGCAACGTGCAGAAATCCTCGGAACAGTGAGGTCGCTCCGTGAAGCCTGCGAAGTGCCCACGAGGCTTCTTTGCTTTTGGAAGGAGTTAGGATGGCTTAGTTAGCCAGGACTTTAAGCACAACGGACCTATTGAGAGTCTAAGTGCGGAAACGGAGTCCGCAAACCATTGTTACATCTAATTAATTCAGCGTTAAGGAACTTATGTGACATGATGTTGACGAGATATCCGCGCATGCGTTGTGCAAACGTAGAGCCGACTCTGCGTCGCCACATCCTGTCCTCACGCCAGGGCTGCTCACTATAAAATCTTATTTTTTAGTAAAACCTGAAATCCTTTTGCAGTGAGAACTTACTCAATACTGATGAACTGAACTAATGTGACATATTCATTAAAAAATATGTACATTGTTAGTTTTTCCAGTAGTAAGTACACCAGTATATTGAAATGCCGATAACTTTCGTTCCTTAATGTCGTTAAAATTACCTATCAATAAAACAAAGACTAAAGGATGTAGAGAAATGCAAAAGGGTTTTAAGATATTGAGTTTACACTTAGGTATTACCATGATTAGTAAAGATAAATATGTATTAATTGGGAGACCTCAATCTTGTCGCAAAGTTTATTCATCCCTACAAGAAGTAAGGAGTGACGCCGGAGTGTCGGCGACACTTGTTGCCATGTCTCGACAGCCTTCAGACTGCACACTACTTCTGCCGGCAAACACGAAACGCACAGCCTTTTTAATGAGGATATTATCTTAGTTCTACATAATTTTGAATAACGTAATCTGAAATAAGTTAAAGCCACAAATAATTAATTGATAATAAACATAATTTTAAAATGCCAAGTTAAAATAACGTTGCGACTGTTTGGATATTTTTTTCTATACTTTTAAAAGAATTTAATTATATCATTTGGTGTCATGGTGTGTGAAGAGTGAAATAAGTGTAAATGAACGAATTATAAAATCGTTCTTATTCAAAGTAACTGATCGGTAAATGTACTGTTTAATTCCTTAAAATTCTGATATTTTTAAATCTCTTGTATTGTTTCGTGACGTGCTCTAAACGCCATCCATTGTCTATGAATGTTAAATTTGTACAATATAAGTCTTAACTGAAGCCCTAGGATAATTTAAATTTACCAGGTATGTTACGTTAGATTACGATGGGGTGATTGCAGCTAAGTGGTGATGGGTAGTGGGAAGACCCGCGGTGCTCGGCCGCCGTCTACCACGGCGTACTACGTCGCTCTGGCCGGCATCCTTGGATTGCTGTTGCTGCTGTGCTGCTACTTCGTGTATTTCTGTATTCGACGTGTTAAAAGTGAGACAAGACAAACATGCATTAATCTAAACTAGGTGTTTACAAATATTTTGCTGTGAAAATTAGAACTTGAATAGTCTGACGAAAAGGGTAGTTATTGCTATTTCACATCCCATTAGCATTTACGTTGTGCATTCATAAAATACTTATATATATTTTTTTACATTTTATTCTTATTGGATTCCAGAGTTGACCCAACAAGGTCTTCCGGAACGAGTGGAGTCGGTACGGCCACCGCCACCGGACACGGTCGCCTACCCCGTGCAACCTGGTTAGTAGTTAGCCTGTTTTATACCATATCATAGTAAGTTATCTGAGTGCAGATTTCCTTGAGATACGAGAGAGGAATAATCGCGTAAAACAACATTTCTAACATTTCTTTTTCTATATGAAAAATCAATAAATTAATTATTATATGTGCATGTATAATGTATGCGTGTATGTGGCTTGTATATGTATATGCATGCTATATAATCCTTTGGCATTATTGGCCTCTGCCGTTATCAATTTTCTACGTAACTTCAATCACAGAGTAGCTTTTTCAAAATTATGGGGTTGGCCTAAAGTCATCAAGTAAAATCGAAGCCTACAACTAGACTAAGTATATATAGTTAGTTAATATCGAAAGAAAAAACATTTAGTAGAGAACGAATAACAGAGTAGCTCATCAACCTACATCTCTCCATATGATACCGTCATAATCACTATTCTTATCGATTACTACTTCTTATATAACTTAAACATTTTACTTCAAATTACGAGTATAAGTCAAACTTACAACAAACTATGAATTCTTTCTTTATTACAATCCTGAATAATTTTAAATTAAGAAAAATTTGTCTGAGATAAAAAGTAAAATATATTTGTTATGAAGTCACAACATTTTTCACAATTTGAAAATTTTACATTACTCATATGTAAAAATGAAAGTGAAGGGTCTGCTTTTTAGCATTTAGAGAGTCGTTTATGACCCAAGAAGTTCAGTTGATTTGATTCAGGGTTCGGGTTCAGCTGTTACATATTTTATCCTTCGCAATAAAATTTTTCCTGAACACACTACGCCTGGTTGTCTTTGTTAAAATGTTGCCTAATGCCTTGTGATTCTAAACAATCCGGGTAACAGTTTACAAAACGTTAGTTAGTTTTCTGTGAGGTCAATGGTATTCTGTGATTCGACTGATGATCAATGTAATATTTAAATGTATTAGTAATGTTTATATTGTAATGTGACAGCGGTGCGTGCGAGTGCGTCTGCGATGGCGCGCCTTTGCCACTCCCCCTCCCGGGGAGTGCCACCTACCTCTCCCCGAAGCTTAGTCTCACCCTCCAGGGATAGATTTGGTGAGCTGCGTTTAGTTCTAACTTCTTGGAATATGCGGTAATGGACACTACATCTAGAGACATTTGACTAAACGCAATTACGAGCTAATCTGCATTTTACTTTGTATATAGTATATCAAATCTTCACCAGCTTCTAACTATACAAATTACACAACTTTACATGTAAACCAAGACTGGATCGCATGGTTTACAATACGAATAATATGCTTGATTATTGGTTGACCTTTATGTAAACTAAAGATATCATTTGAATGAACTTAGTGAAAGTTGAGTAGTATAGTATAGTTGTAAGATAAGTCCCGTTTGTGTAGTTTCAGCGCAACGGTCAAGTTCATTGACCCCAGCACACACTGACACAGTGCACCCGCGCACTCGAAGCCAGCTGCCGCCTCCGAATATACTTACATCTAGAACTACACCCATTAGAAACGGTCCTAAAGTTATTCCTCCGCGAATAGAACTCGTATCGAACGAATACAATGTTATCGGTGACGGAACACCGACGCCTAAAAAGCGTCTATCATCACCCAAAAGTCAGAATTTTTCACCGCATAAAAGTAAGGAAACACTACCCGTTTGGAAAGACGAGGCTTCAGTGAGACGGAGAGAAGGGATTACCAGCAAAGAGAGTCAACGGAAGCATCTCTCTGCTCCGCCTCAGATTGTCGTTGGAGATGTTGAGTAGCAGCTAGTTGGGTTTACCAATTCATAACATTTATTGATACATATAGCCTTATTTTTTCTTACCTTAAAATTGAAATTTAGAAATAACAAAAGAAATATATTGTTTTTATTATAAAAGCTGTATAACAAAACTGCATTGATATACCTATGTGTATTTATATTTATGTATGTGCAATTGAGCTAAAAATGTATTCGTATGCATATTTTCAATGTTCAAGTATGTATAAAAGCTGTGTACTTGAAAATTGGTTCCGACCTCTGGTCTCCATTTTCCATACAACATGAAATTGAGCTGCCCTGGGTAACAGTTATAGGGGAAATAGCCTAATCGCACCGAAAGTTAAGCTGGATAGACTAGTAGCTAAGTTTTCTTAAGTAAAATTAATTATTAGTAGATACAAATTTTTTGATGTTCAATCACATTCGCGTTTTATTGTAAATAAATAACTTAATGTTATTTACGTTATTAATAAGCTTATTTTTTGTATAGTTACACAATAAAACTTATTAAAATTATTTAGTAACTATTGAATATTTTGTCTTGATGGTCCCTATCACTTTGTAAATTGAGAATCGCGACAAACATTTATTATTCATAGCTAAAGCTATGTACTACGAAGATTGATGTTGTAAAACACTACATTACAATTATATAATCGCACATTTTTACATAACTGAATTAATTGTAAATTTACATCTATGTATAATAAATGCTAAAATATTTTCTACTTTATTTATTTTAACCTATTAACAGTGTTTTTTATTAACTCCAATTGATAGCCTGAATAAAAAAAATAAAATAAGTGGTGCTACAACTTTTAGGTCTGGGCCTCACATTTCTGTGTCTGTTTTGTAATAATTTGTATTTTTCTAATATGTTGGTATGGACAGTAATGTTCTGTCATGCCGGTTTCCTCACGATGTATGAGTGAGTGTCGATTGCACACATAGACATAAAGTCCTTTGGTGCCCAGCCGGGGTTCGAAACAACGACTTCAGGGATGAGTGTCGAACGTTGATTACCACTAGGTCAAAACTGATCGTATTTCAAGAATTCGAAATATTCTTGACTAAAGCCTATCTTTTTTTTTATAGAACAGGGGGCAAACGGGCAGGAGGCTCACCTGATGTTAAGTGAAAACGCCGCCCATGGACACTCTCAATGCCAGAGGGCTTGCGAGTGCGTTGCCGGCCTTTCAAGAATTGGTACGCTCTTTTCTTGAAGGACCCTAAGTCGAATTGGTTCGGAAATACTTCAGTGGGCAGCTGGTTCCACAAAGTGGTGGTGCGCGGCAAAAACTGCCTTGAAAAACGCTCAGTTGTGGAACGGCGGACGTCGAGGTGATACGGGTGGAATTTCGTACTCTGCCTCGACGTCCGATGACGAAACTCAGCTGCAGGTATTAATCCGAACAACTCCTCTGAACACTCTCCATGGTAAATGCGGTAGAAGATGCAGAGTGACCCCACATCTCTACGCAACGCCAAAGGATCAAGCCGCTTGGAGAGGGATTGGTCGTCGACGATTCGAACCGCTCTGCGTTGAATACGGTTAAGTGGAAGGAGCTGGTACAGGGGAGCCCCCGCCCAGAGGTGAGAGCAGTACTCCATGTGGGGCCGAATTTGCGCTTTATATAGTTGCATGCGGTGGCCCGGAGTGAAGTACCGTCTCGCCTTGCTGAGCACACCAAGCTTTTTGGAGGCTAATTTAGCCTTTCCCTCCAAGTGACCGCGAAACTGAACGTCGTTCGATATGTCAACGCCAAGTATTCCAATGCTGGCTGTGGCTTTAAGAAGAGTGTTTTCGAAAAGAGGAGTAGCGACAAAGGGTGTTTTTTTAAGCGGAAAACGCGCAAACTTGTGTCTTCTTGGGGTTAAATTGGACTAGGTTTAGTCTGCCCCAGTCTGAGACTCCACGTAGTAGAGTTTCGACTTCAGACACAAGTTTGTTCCGGTATTCATCGACAACTGCCCGAGAAATACCTGCCCGGCCAGTGTAAAGAGTATCCCCTGTGCTATGGTCTCTATGGTCTGCACTAGAAAGAGATGAGAGCCTGATTATATAATACATTTATAACTACACCCATGTACTTCAAGTGTTTGAAAAATATGGCGAATTTAATAAATTAACACAGACATATTGTAAGCCATTTAATACTTGGAACAATACATATAAAATTTACTTTTATTTTTTATTGTAATATTGGGATAAATACATTGTTATATTTTAATACAATATTATATATATTATATATGTACCTAGGACAAATTTAAATTACTATAGATTGACATAGAAATCGTAAACTTGCGGACTATAGGGGAAGATCGTTACCCTTCGTACGCGGGGCACATTCATACAGTCAAAATAAAGCTTGAACGAAACTAAGTACAGTCTTGCTTTTGCATGTGTGCATGAGTCGAGGTACCAACTTTATATCAACGAAGTTTCGCGAAATTAGTACCGATGAGAGTGAAGTTACAGGGATTGACGTGTTTTCGCGCTCGGTAAGTAATTTTTTAATCAATGTTTTTGTCTCTTGTTACCGTAGATAAAATAAGTTTTCGTGTAGAGTATTCTATTAGTAACTAGCAAAATATACTTAAGATACGTCTCCAATACTTAATATTTTATGACGTTTTCCTATTAATATTTAAATAAGTTATATTTTGTTGTTATTCAGTTAGTGGGGTACTTTCGGACAGCACTAGATGGGGCACATTTGAACGAATTGTACAATTAAATTGGTATGAAAATTTGTCGACACGAACTGTCATTTTCATACAAATTAAGTTTTTGACATTCTACATACACTACTGTTAAGGCATCTTGACTAAACCCTCTGGTAGGTAGATGAACAGCTTGCTAGTTAGTGGACTGTGAAAAGTGTGTTTAAAATTTATATGTATTTAATGTCAGGAGTATCTGAATAGTATATGTAATGTATGTGTGAGCAAGCTGCACTAGATGACTAAATATATGAGAGGGTGAGACGTAAGAACCTAACAACCCTACGGATCCCTAAGCCCTACAGACGTACCCTAACACATAAATAGTGAATATATAAATAAGTACGGGATGTCTGCACCAAGAGACCTAAGGTAACAGACGGAGCCCTACGGGTAGGATTAAAGGTTCGAGGTGGTGGGATTATCTCAAAGCTACCGGGCAGGCTCACCACGATAATTAAGGGCTTGAAGTAGTCTTCGCCACTTTGAGAGGAAGCGAGAAATGAACAAGACAGAGCAATATTCAAATCTCATTTATTGTTATAAAACAATATCTTAAATACTAATTACATCTATTCACACATACATAATATTTTTCTAGTGAGCTGTTGGTGTATCGCGCAACCTCAGCTATTAAAATATGGAACACATATGAGCCGTGTCAACAGCTGATTAAAATTTAAATAAAATATAATTAAAATTGCTCTTCAGCTGTTAATATTTAGCACACATCGGATCCATGTCAGCAGTTCGTTCATGTTCAAATGATGAAATCTGAACAGTAGGTACGATTGTGTTAGTCTTCTAATTGCAAATTTTTGCATTAACTTTGTACTCTGTAGCTATTTTTGCTATCGTCGATGTAAATATATATATTAATACCTATTTCTTATTATCTTTATTAAGCTTCATTTTGATGCTTGTGAACCAGATGCTTTGAATAATTTACCAATCCATCAAATAGTAGGTCCTTCGAAGTCAGTTTTGACACCAGAGGCATTTCGACCCTATCTGCATGTTGTAAGAAGTAGAGGAGAGTGACCAAATATGGAATACCATTTTGATTTTTAGGCATAATTTCCACAAGTGTTATATATAAAAAACTTTTTGTGGTATTTATTAACAATCATATATTTGCACTTTAGTTTGTAAAAGTTTAGGGTTTATTGATTAGTTTAAGGTAAGAAAAAATTTAAGAAACTAAATAACGATTTAGGTACCTAAATATGGAATAGGTACCCCAAATATGGAATACTATAAACACTATCAAAAATTAACCTTAAAATACACGAGACTCTTTGGAAACTTGGTATAATATAGAAAGGTACACAAATTTTTTACAAAAATCACAAATCCAGGTATCAAACTCTGGCACAGCGCAATCATTACATGCCCAGAGTCCACACATAAGATACTTGATCCATGTTTCCCCGAGTATCATTCGAAAACAGCACACCACAGAAAATACACTCCGAATCTTCAGATTCTGGAGCTGTATATCCTATCAAAGCATCGGGTTCACTGTCAGTATCAAATAGCATCACCTCCTCATCATCTGAATTAGGCTTAGTCTTCTCTTTTGGTTTTTATCCTCTTGATATTTTCTCATTCTGTTTTTAATTCTTGTTTTTTGCCAACACGACAGTTTTCTTTCCAAGTGTAGTAGCTGCGGCTTCTCCTGGAGAAATTTCGTTTTTATGACATAATCAAAACAAAGTAGATCTTGACACATCAAACTATTTTCCAGCTTTTAAATAACCCATTTGTTTCTCTCTTACTAATTTTATTACTTCCGCCATATGCTCTGAATCCATTCTTTTCGCTTTGTTTTTGAGTTGACGCCCGTCATTTTGGTAAAACATTAAAAAAATATACAATTAACAAAATCATCATGTCAGCTGATACTTTAGAGAACCAATTATGGAATAGTCCATAATTGGATACTGTGATCTGTCCATATTTGGATTTTCCAACGATTTCAAACTGACATTCAGATTTTTATATTTAAGAAAGTAATATCATCTAATACCGGTAAAACATTCAAAAGAACGTCTAAACGGTCTCTAAAAGCTATAAAATCAATATTGAGTGCACTTTCTTTACGAAAAATACGTATTTTTAACATACCTTAGAAAGTTATGCGGTAGCGACAAAACAAAAAACTGTCACAATGACGAAAGCACTTGCTCAACTGACATGCTACAACTTGTACGCGTAAACGGGAGTAAAAGGAGACAGAAAATCATTGTTTATTGCGTATGTGAGTTTGCATTT